AAATAAAGGGAAGCATTTATTTCCAGAGTGAAGAAAACTTTTCCAAGTATCTCTTTGAAATAATTGTCACAGTTCCTAAAAGTTATGGAATAACTCTTTTTTTTTGCATATGAAGTAATAACACATTTTGGGGAGGAGGACAGAGCATCTTTCTTAATCATCTAAGACTGAGGGGTTAAGGACAAAGTATAACACTGATGTTAAACTTTGAACTTATTTTAAGGTGATCATAAAAATATCCACTGGAGTGTCAAAGTCATTCAGCCTTGATATAGTAATGCCAAGTTAAAAAAACATATGCAATTTCTTTCTCTTTTTTTCCTCCTTTCTTTTTGGTCAAAGAATTAAAGTAGGAATAAGAGTGCACATTTAACCAAGAGTTACTATTATATTATCATAACAGAAATTGTGTTGATCTTTTCTATTGGCTTAAATTTCAGTAGACTAAATGAAACCCAAACAAGCTTCTTTTGAGGGAAGCCAAATTCTTTACGACTTTTTTTTTTCATTTTTATTCTGCAAGAATACAGCCAACTCTCAATTGTTTGTGGTAGATGGAAAAAGAACATTATGAATTCTCAAAATCCACAGTATGTAATGCACGCACATTAATTTTGCCAATGATTTCTTGCAAACACCTTCCATAAAACAAAATTTAAGAAGAAATAAAGTAGACTGATTTGAATTTTATTTCCAATTGTTTCTTTTCTCCACCCTCAGGGTGAAATAATAATGAAAGGAAACAGAGCCCAAGGCCTAATCCTTAAGAAGAAAAGACAAAACACATCCACAAAGTAGATAATTAGCCCTTCAAAAATTGAGAGTGATTGTATTTCTGCAAAACGCAGAAATTGGGGCAGTATTAAGAAAAGCTCAAGTGTGACCCAGTGGCCTTTTGATTCTTCCTGCAGGCACCAAGCTCCATCCCATCAGAGTTTTGGCTTGAAAGCTTCCTGAATAGAAGAACCATTTCTTGATCCATTACGGTATTTTCCCTCCCAGAAACACATAGAAGTGAATATTTGAGAAGTCATCCATCCCTTTTTTGTGATAGTGAACATCTCCATGTTGGGATATAAAACTAAAATAAAAGAAATCAGTAATCTGGGGTGAACTCTCCTCTCCCACATCAGAAAAGGTCTTTGAGACCACATGGGAACTTGGTATTTAGTTTTCCTATTTTCCTGAACTCCATGCAACTCGCACAACTAATAGTCATGCCCAATAACATTTGGATTAAGGGACCGATTTTATATTTTAAAAAGTTTTGGTAGGAAATGTTAACCTTGAGTCAGACCCAACTGTCTTCCAATGCCACCTCACAGTGGATGTCATTTGTAAAGCAAATTGATTGGTTAATGAAATCCCATTATCGCTTTGCCACAGGGAGAGTATAGTGTACACAATCAGTGAGCCTTGTTTAAATTCTGTCAATCCCTCAGATTGAAGTGAGAAGTTGTCAGTTCCACTGGACTCAAAATTTTGAAGTATGCCAGCCACATAACACAAAAACCAAAGTCTCATCCTTTCCCCTCTACTATAGTCAAAATAAAAATATTCTATGATGTGTTAATACTGTATTACAATGTGTGATTCCTCAAATGCACTGAATGTTATTATACATGTATATAAATATTGCCCCTTGCTTGATTTGAAATCATATAAAAAACATTGATCACTAAAACACACTTAAGAAATTTTATCTGCTTATCTGCTCATCTGATAAGTGGTTCATGCACTCAAATTAAGAAGGAGACCAATTTGTCAAATGCATTTTTAGTCTACTAACATCATAACTGTTTCTGGAGAGCCTGTTGAAACTTTTTTATAATCATAAAGAAATTCTCAAGGTCCTATCCCAATAAAATTTCCTTTTCCACCAATGGGGATTTTAGGCCAGTGCAAAAGTAATTAGGTATATAATAGACACCCTGATTATTTTTCAAATAAAATTTCTGGGGTGGAGGAACAAAATGAAGTCCATTTTTGGTCATACATGAGCTAAAAGTGATTTTAAAGCAGTTTGGCAATGAGGCCCATGATGTATTTTGTTGGCATAGGGAAATAATGCAAACTGTTTGCTCCATCAGCTTTTTTCAGCTCTCGGTCTTGCATTTCCTATGCACATGCTTTTAAAACCAAGTAGTTTTGCATTACAAGGGGTGGAAGTGAGTCATATGCTTTCAAAGGTGGCAGGTCTGTTAAAAGTCACAAGAATTAATTCAAGCGAAATATGGAGACAATATTCTAAAGCGTTGAAATTTTCCAAGAAAACAAACTAATTCTAGCCAAATTGAAATCAGGTGGAGGATTCTTTTTTTCTTTCAAATATTTTGTGACTTGCTAATATTCAAAATATGTCAGCATTTAGGACAAGCAGTCCTCATCACCTGCTCCTGTGACTTTCTCTTGGGCTACATTAATTGTCCTTAGAAGATAATGGCCATGCACTGTGAATGTCCAAATACTACCTACCTTGCTTCTCCTGACAACACTTTTTCATTAGAATAAATCCATTCCCCACTGACCTTGTAACTGACTTTAGATGAGACGGTGTTTGTCTTATATGGATTGTGGCTTTAGTTTGTTTCCTAATGGGTAGGCTAAGTCTTGGCAATTGCAGTCATAAAGAACCAATTTTAGATATTTCAATAAATACTTAAAAATCTGGCGAATCAGAATACTTGGAAAATCAACTTCAACTTTAAAAAAGGTTATAGTCTTAAATAGTACTAAAATCACCACACTATATACTGTGGATTAGATTAGGATGCTGATGCCCACATATATTGAACACATATTTTGGTTTTCTTTCTTTTTCACTTAGAGTAGCACTGCTTACCTGTGGATGTGCCACCCCCAACCCCAAACTGGACACTTGGAAACAGTTCTTAGGTAAGATGACAGGAAAAGGGGGCAAATTTGAACTTTGCTTTTATCTTCTTTTTGGTTTGAAATTTTATAGAATGGCATGACATAAACAATCTAAACACAAAACACACATGGACACATAAAATGACAGGTAATTTCCTTTTGCCTGAAGTGGCTTAAAAAAATTGAGATTACTGAAATTTCATAGTTGAAAAAAATGTTTCTGAATGTATAAATAAAGCAGCAGTTTTGAATAGAAACAGGAAGTTACCTAGGCACATTCATCAGCCACATGGTAGCTACCTCTTAGCCTCATTGTTGATTGTGTAAATGAGACTTTCTTTGTATCACATTAATATTTGTTTTTTTGGTATAATTTTTTCTTTACATAAACAAAGGAAAGCATGTTGGTTTCATATTCAAATGAATTATGCCTAGGATAATCCTTATTTATACAAAGAATTCAGAGAGTGAAAAGGAAGAACAAAAATACAGTTTCCAAAGATGTTTTCTTATACCCCCTGTAACTTGGGGACCCACTATTCAAAGGCAAAACTTAAGTGCCACTCTTGCAATACCTGGGAAGCTGTAGGATACCAAAGAATATGTCATTCTAGGATTCTCTCTAGAAACAGAAAACCATCAGGAAGGGTGTGACCAGCTGAATTTCTCTGTAACACATGTGACATTTCCTTGGATACACTTTGCTATTAGTTTGACTGCAGAGATATGGAGCCATTCTGTAGATTTGAGCTTCCAATATCTGGGGTTGCAAATAAGAGAACAAGGGTCCATTTAAATAGTGAAAAAAAGTGGCAATTTTCTATGAGTCCCCCTCCTTACTCATGTTACCCTAATAAGAATATGATTTACATTTTGAATTTTTTAAATTTCAAAAGCCTACCCTGTTTTCTTCTATAGTGCACTTCATGTATTTCCTCCTTCTTTATGGAATAAGTCAGATTCCTGTGACTTCTTTAATTTGCAAAAAGATTTTCACCTATTTGATTAAAATGATTCATTTGCAAAGCCATTTTAGCAATTGGTTCAATTAGCAAAATTCCATTCTGTTGTCTCTAATTTCAGATAAAACTGTATAAGTTGAACATGGACTTGATGATTCAAAAATGCAAAGATGTTTTCTAGGTAAGTCAATTTAATTTTAAACAGACTTTTGCATCGTCCTAAGTACATATATCTCCTTTGGCTTTTATCATTGATCAAACCTAATTCTTTTGGTTCTTATTGATTAAAAATTACACAATTACTTGATTGTCAACTAGCATTTTTCAGAAATTCCATTAAGAGAACCCTCAATCTTATTAGTCCTGCTTGCCTTGGATAATTAAACTGAAATGAAAGGTCTGTTTTGTCTTTCTTTCCGGCAACACCAAGATATGAAAAGAGGCAAAAAAGAAGATACCCCCCCCTCCTCAATTGCACAATCAAGGTGGCTATTCACAGTGGATGATGACAAAAGACTGAAGTGAGAAGACAAAACCAGGAGGTGTTAGAATTTAGAAGGAAGATTGTTACAAACATGAGACCTTTTCAGAGACCACTCACCATTGCACACAACATCACTCAGCTTTTCTGACAAGTGACCTTTCAGATCATGTTCAGGAAGCATCTTTAGTTCAAAATTCATACAAAGAAATTCCAACCTGTTAAACAAGTGTCTTGGCTTATTGGTGGCCATCAGCACAGGTTTCACTATTGAAGAGAGTTAGCAAGGAACCAGAAAAGCTCACAGGATTTAAAGCCTCTTGGCTCTATCAATTGGTACCCAGGACTCTTCTTGCTATAACTGTTGAACACAGCAGGTACAAGCTTCTAATATCAACAAATAGACTTAAAAAAAAAAAAAACACTTTTTTTTTTCTTTTGCGGTAAGTAAAACACCAGTGGAAGATAGTTTAAACAAAGGACAAAGAACTGGTCCGGCCACGTAGGTCAAATAAAAATTTTAAAACAAAACAGAATTAACAACCTCTACCCTCTGGACTGTAATAGGGTGTCACTTCATCTTTGGTATAAAATAGGCCATCCATAGGCTGAATTTGATCACAACTAGGAAAGACTACAGAAATTGTCAACAATTTCTCTATCTATTGCTTTTTTTGTTTTTTGCACTTTTTGACCATAAGCTCCTATCTACTTAAGTTTTTTTTGTTTTGTTTTTTAATGCTCTTAAGCTAGGTTTTGCAATGTGACAAGCAAAGCTGACTAAAAACTTTGTAAAGCTCATAAAAAAGACTGCAGATAAAAAGCACTAATGCTTTTGCTAGCAATCACGCTTTGTAAATAAAAAAAATCTGCATTCTGCCCCCCAAACACGCATTATTTCTAATGCAGTTGTTTTAAAACCAACATGAATAACTTTACCGTAAAATGTTTTAGCCTTCTAGAATGATTTGTGTCAACACTTAAGACAAAGTTCATGAAAAGTCCCAGCATTTCCCAATTCTTGCAGTTGCCATGGTTTCTTTTATCAACAAATTTTCTTCAAATGAAGAAAAAACATTTTCTTTTAAACTGTACAGTTTTTTTTTCACCCTAAAAACTCATAGTCTTAAACTTCTGTACCAGTTAAAGCTGGCACAATATTTCCATTTTTCTTGATTTTTTTTTTAACAAGACGTTGACAGCTTGCCTTGAGAGCCTTTGACGTCCTTAAAATTAAGGCAATTAAGATTCAAGATAAACCTTACCTACATATTTCTAAAAAAAAAATTAATAAAAAAAACACAAGATTTAAACAAAAAAGGAAAAAGAGAGAAAGTAGCTTAGTTACTGAGCAAGACAATTTGTTCCAATTCTGTTTGCCCACCTCTTGACATCAGGTTTTCTGTTAAAGAAAAAAAAAAAAAAAGGATCTATCTACACTTTCAGGTAAATTCTGAATTTAAATGTTCTAGATAAAACATAAAACTGTGATGTTTAACCCCCTCTTCTTGGGATTTTTTTTTCTTTAATTATAAAAAGAAAAAGGATGGCAAAAATAAACTGTCAGACCACATAAAGGAACCATTTGCACAGCACATAAAAACTTTTTGTTTTCATCGAGTAGAGTATAAAATTAAAAAAAAAAAAAAAGCCTTCCATTGACGCCTGTGCAAACTGGAAGCCAACTAACTTCTTGTTCAATGAAGTTTCTTCATTCAAGGCAAAGTTTCAGATGAACATTCTTCAGTTCTGTTTATGGTCTGTGAAAACAATTGAATAAGAGTGACTGTTACATCAAAGCAGCTTTGAAAACTGTCTTCTGTGCTGTTTTCTAGCGAGGACGTTAACAAAGATATCAAGCTCAAGAACGTGGTCAAGAAAGAAATTTGGAAAAGCATAGTTAGCCTATGAAGTTGTCCAATGCTGCCGATTTCACATAAATATATGTTCAAGCTAGAGAGTGTGTTCACATTAAAAATCAAGGTAAATAGACCAAGAATACCTTTGGATTCCAAAGCAATGAATATTATGAATAATCATCAAATAGGGCTCAGAGAGACAGCACTCCTGCTATGGTCTGGATATGGTCGGAACATGTTCCCCCCAAGGTTCATGTTTTGGACTCTCCATCTTCAGTGTGGAAATGTGGGAGGTGAGGTTGGAACCTTGAAGACATGGAGCCTAGTGGCACACCATCGTGTGTGTGCCTTTGGGGGGATTAAAGTTCTCATGGGATCCTTAGTTAGTTCTTAAGGGAGCAAGGTGTTACAAAAGAGCAAACATCTTCCTTCCCTGTTATCTGCTTCTTGTCTGATCATGCAATCCCTTTAACACTCCCACCATGATGCCTTCTTGTGTCCCCAGAAGGGGACTGTCATAAGAGGCCATAGAGATGGGACTGTTCAATTTTGAACACTCAGCCTCCAAAATTGTGAGCTAAATAAACCTCCTTTCTTTATACACTATCCACCTTTAGTAAATTTGATATAGCAACAGAAAACAGATGAATAATACAACTTTCTATGCATGCAGGTTACATTTAAATGAAGGTCTCTTTCCTCCAGGCACAGATTATAGCAATAAGCTCTTCAGGTTATTTTTCATACCCATTTGCTTCATTTAGCAAAAAGAGTTGTTAGGTACAGGTGGGCAGGTTGCTTACTACACAAGATGCATGGTTGAGGGAGAGGGGCTAAGTTTTAGCCAACTGTCTTCTTCCAAATCTATATAATCTGATACAGGACTGCATCTGCCCTAATCAAGTGGATGGGCCTTATTGAAATTCATATGATGTCCTCAACAGTGTTTTAAAACGGATAATATCTTGCCTAAAATGGCCTCAAAAGGTCTCTTTTTCCTAATTTGCATAAAGCCATCATGTGAGCCAGCTGTGGCTATTAGGGACCTAATTAATTTGTTCCTAGATCATGCAAGAAAAGCAACTAATTGATAGAGTGAATATTTCTCTCTTTTTTTTAACCAATAGTTTAAGTCTCTGAGGATATATCATTTTCCCCCCTGGGTCACATGAAAAAGTAGGATTTCTTCAAGAAAAAATGCAATTAGAATTCTCATAATAGCATCAATAAAGGGAATTTTATTAGTAGTAGCTATAAAAACCCTGGTCAATGTTTTAGCTGTCTTTCTCTGTCTTTGCAAACTGTAGGCTGACTCTATGTATTTCTAAAATCTATCTTTTCTATGAGAACCAACATTTTTCTCTCCTTGGTTTTGTGTTTTGGTCTCTTCTTTATTTCCATTCCCATTTTCCACTGTACAATAAAGAGAAAAAGCCTAAAACACCATGAATCTCTATGATGAGCAGCTCAGTGAATGCTGTCTTACTCAGTGGTGGCACAAAAGACCCTCCCTGCTCAAGTCCTCAATATGCACTGCTCTCAGAAGCATCAGTTTTTATGAGTTAAGCTGAGCATGGTGGCATATGCCTGTAATCCCAATGACTCCACTTGACTCAGGAGGCTGAGACAGAAGGATTGCAAGTTCAAGGTCAGCCTCAGCAACTTAGTGAGACCCTGTCTTAAAATAAAAAACAAAACCAAAAAGGGCATGGGGGTGGGTGGCAGGGATGTAGCTCAGTGGTAAAGTGTCCCTAGGTTAAATCCCTAGTACAATATATATATATATATATATATATATATATATATATATATATATATACACACACACACACTATATATATATATATATATACATATATTATTATATGTATATTATTATATGTATATTATATGAATATATAATAAATATATGTGTGTATAAATGTCAAATGCTAAATGTTAAAGCTGGAGCTGCTTCTAAGTTTTAAACCTTATACAATAATTTCCAATAGTACCCTTCCATATTTTGCTTTGTCCTTAAAGGGTCCTCATTGCTACACGAAAACAAATGAGGAGAAATAAAGGGCTGTAATTTACATGTTCATGGTTCCTAGCTGAAGTTGAAAGGAAAAAGGTGTTGCTGTTTAACAGAATTAAATTCACTTCTCTCCACCCCCTCTTCCTTAGATGAAGTGTGAATGTGTACATTTACACAGTATTTATGGGTTGCCCCCATATTTATAAAAATAGAAGCATTCTAAATTCTCAAGTTCCTGATCATTAGTATAGAGAGCATTTTAAGTTGGACTCTGAGAATAGCAAGAAAACAAGTTGAAACTTAGAATAATTAACACGTGAAAAAGATGAGTTTGGAAACTATTTGCAAACTGTGAAGCACTGAACACAGAAGGTGGTGTGACTCATAAGTATAATTTAATTACATGTCATCACTGTACTGACCACTTTTAGGAATTTGGTGTTCCCACAGTTTCATTAGCCATAGAAGAGTTGAGGCATAAAAATAAAATGCAATAGTATTTTTTTTTAATGTCAGGGTGAATAGACTCATTTTGAATCTTCTCATCAACTCCCTCTCCAAAGAAGACAAAAAATAAAAAAATAAAAATAAAAACAAAATAACAACAACAAAAAAAATAGTTTACAAGTTGTGAAATAGCAAAACATATTTTTGAAAGCTAGAATTTAGTATTTAAGAAATCCACTGATTCAGTATTTCCCAGAGAAATTTCTCACAGACTAGCTTCATGCAATGCTATATAAAAAGAAGTATTCTGTGGTCCAGGGTTTGGAGAAAAAACTATACACTTAACCCCCAATACTGGATTATCTACAGGTAAACTAAACAAATACTTAAAGAACAAAGAAGAATAGCAGGATAAAAAAAAATTTAAAACAATGCAATGCCTTATATTACTATGAAAATAATAAACACATAGACAATTTAAAAATTTTGTTAAACTTTTAAAATAATTTAATATAGTTTTAAAAATATCTTGGAATTCCATAGGAGGAAAGGGGCATGCACCATAATCTTTCAGGAAATAAAGTATTGGAAGTATTTTTCTGGTCTTCGATATTGGGGGTTGAACCTAAGAATGCTTTACCATTGAGCTATATCCCCAATCCTTTTTAATTTTTTTGAGACAGGATCTTGCTAAGTTTCCCAGGCTGGTGTAGAACTTCAGATACTCCTGCCTCGGTCTCATAAGTATCAGGGATTACAGGCATGGATCACAAGGTCCCGCTCATTAATACTGTATTTTAATAGCTTTGGAGACAGCTGTGATTAAAGAAAGCATTTGGCTTGGTTTAAAGCAGTATATTCTTGGTCTGGGGTTGTAGCTCAGTGGTAGAGCAGTTGCCTAGCACATGTGTGGCACTGAGTTTGATTTTAGCACCACATCAAATAATAGGTAAATAAAATAAAGCTATTAAAAAAAAAGGCAGTGTATCCCATCATAATTTGACTAGGAAGTGCTTGGGGGCACTTTTCAATCCTGACTTGGGCATGGTGGTAAATCCCCCCCCCCCCCTTTAGATACCTAATTTAGGCTCTTTGGAGAAAGACCCAATCTTCTCACTTTGAAGAGGAAAATCAAGCTCCAAATAACTGAATAGTAACTGAGATGTCACAAAGGTGGAGTCAGAACAAAGGGCTTATGGTTCTGCATAGTAGAATTTAAGTTTGTTTGAAAACATATTTTTCAGATTCTAGTTAGTTTAAGGTTTCTTTCACAACACAAAACCAAATAAACAAATAGATATCTTGGGTGAAAATTAGAATTTCCATAGAACTTCCAAAAGAAACCACAGTGAACATTTCCTCCTGAGATAAGAGCTGAGTGTCCCTTTTGCATCAATATCTTCTTTTAAAGAAAACAAGAAACCATAAGTATAAATGTGTGATCCTGTAGTTTAGCTTGGAAAGTGGAATCTGGAATGAACAGATCACAAATATAGTCCCATAATTCATAGGCCTATCATTTATATTTCTCAAACTTTTCTCTCCCAATCTTTGGCAGCAATGGATGTAACTTAATTTACAGTATCTTTAGCATAGATGCTTTGGTTGTTAAATGTATGTGTGATGTATTAAGCTACTTTTCAGGGGCACTCTGCTACCCTAATTAGAATTCACACCCCACAAGAGGTCAGCTAGCATTTAATCAAAAAGGCCAGAGGTAGTACAAATACTTTAAGCTATCCATATCTCCATTAGCATAATGATTGTTAGAAATGGGTTGCCTAATGAAAGTAGTGGCATGTTAATTAGCATAATGATGTTGGAAATGAGCTGCCATTTGTGAGATTTGGCATATTTAAGAAAATGTGGATTGGTTAAATTATTTTAGAGATACTCTCCATTATACTAGTACAGGAAGGATATAAGAATAGTTTAGGGAAATGTATAGAATACAACTCACTTTAGGATACTGCTTGAGGATTGATTTCAAATCAGAATTGTCACAGAGCAGACTCTGAGTGGCTTTTATAAGGACGACATAGGCCTATATCTAGAATACGGTTGAATCTAACCTGAGAGAATTTTTTTATACCAGGTCTGGTCAGTTAACTTTAAAGAACAAAGTTAGGAGTTTATTAAGTGTACACAGCAAGCTGTATAATTTGTTCTGTGCCTGCTTTCTAACAAATGCTTGCTTAATAAGTGTCTCTGAGGGTGTTCTTGCATCCCTCAAATTCTTCCCAGTGATGGTTGCCAATGAAAAGGAACCCACTTTGCATGATCCAAATGCTCAGCTTAATTCCCAGTGTCTTCCTCAAATGATTCTGAAGAAGAACAATCTGTCTTACCATGACCCAGGTCAGATTCTCTTGATTGAACCTGATAAAAAAAAAAAACCTGGATAGAGTCTCATGAATTACTTCCTTTTATAAAATTCCAGGAGTGATTGCCACACCCAAATGTAGTTTGTCTTAGTATATTTTTCAATTTCATTCACTATTTTGTTTTTATTGTTGTTTCAAGTCAAAAGCTTCTAAGACTGTATCATGTCCAAAAGAGGAAGTTGAGAACATGCACAGAATTTATGAACATTTTTACCAGGTTTAAAAAAATGTCTGCAGGGCAATACAAGTGGTTTTTGCATGTTATATTTTTGAAATGTTTCATGTTCCAGAATGTTTCATCTTTGTAGCACTGAGCATGAGCTGTAGAACATCCTGCCACATACATTCCTGTGTGAGTGCGGAATCTAATTCCTCCAATCAAGGAAACTCTCCTCATAATTTTACCACTGTGAGGACATGGGATGGAGATTTCATTTCGGAATATTTATTATCTTTGGAAAACTCAGCATCGTCAACCATAAAAATCCATGGCTCAAGAGAAATGACCATGGTGTGTAACCAAACTTATAAACATGTTTCAATAGTGAAAGTTGTATGTGCTAAGATTCAGATTTCCTCAAATACTTCAAAGAGTAGAGCTTATTAGAATTGACTCATCACAAGGATAATTAAATTCCTGCCTTTCTCCAGAAAGTCACACCCTCATGGGTTTTTATCTCATCTGCTTCTGTTAATGGCATGAAGCGCTTCATTCAATAAGACTTCATTTCAAGTCTTATTTATGTTTTTTCTTCTTTCAGTCTATCTTCTACTCTACCTTCCTCTTCCCACCATTGCACCTACCATTGTGACACTTCAGAACTTTGCTACTTCTTTCCTAAGTCATAGCAATAATAGCACAGCTGATTTCCCTTCCTACCAAATTCATTGCCTACTTCGGCTGGAAGAGTAGTCATAGAACAAAGGAAATGCCATCCAAGCAATTCAGTGTGGCACCTGATATAACCATCTAGGTCTAATCAGCTTTTTTACACAATTCTATTATTCTACCTCCACTTCTTGAAGAAGCATTCTGAGCTCCCTTCCCACCCTTGGACTTTGATCAAACTGTTACACCCTCTGAAATGTTGCTCCTGCCTCCAAGATTCAGTTCCAGTTGCCATAACCACCACCAAGGCTTACCAAGCCAGGAAATATGAAGTGCATTCTCCTATTACTATAGAGCTTTAAAAGAGAGTCTTGTTCATTTTCTTCCATACAGAATGCATATTTTCTGAACATGGAGAACTAAATCCCAGCCTGGATTGTAAATCCTGAGGATAGACCATGTCTACTGGTATAACTGGTTATGATGCTGTTATCATGCATGAACTTGGCTCTGGCCCTGGAAGTGAATGTGGAAACTGTCACCAGAATCTGCCAGAGGCAGAGATACTCCCTCTGGGTTAGACGGAATCCCTTTCCCCACCAAATCATAATATGACCATGGAAAGAAGCTTTACACCTGAGATAGTACATCCTTGAGAAAGGAAGAGAACACCTCATTGTGGAATAACAAGTTGGGGCAACTGAAGCTCAGTTAATTGGACAGTGAAAGGAGGGGTCTCTGGAGAGTTGCAAGAAGGGGGATATTTGCATTCTGAAGGCTGTCCTTGAAATATATCCCTCTATATTCAGTGGTATTAGAGTCAACATTTGTGAATCAAATAATATCATTTCTTCTTTTACAGCCTTCCCAAGAGTTCTGAGCTCATTTTGAGTAAAGCTAAATATGATCATAGAGAGTCAAGTATCTAAGGGGCAAAAGCTTGGTACCAGCTGTCCTGTTTGATCTAATCTCCTGGAAGGGTTGCCTCTAGTCTGAAACACATCAGCCTCACGTTCCCGCCAAGGGCCTACAAATGGCCTATTTCCTCTCCTTAAAATGCCTTGTTTCCAAATTTCCCCAAGATTTGCTTCCAATTGTCTTTCAGAACCCAGGCCTATATGAGAGGTCTTCTCCAATACTAAATCCTGGGAGTTGACCTCATTATTTTATATCCCCTGGAATATTTGAATGATCCGCTTGGCAATTCTGTCTTTTTTAAAATTGTTTTTTGATTGATCTATTGATTATAAGTGGAAAATAAACTCCAGGAGAGGGGGGGGGGAGAAATCTGCTTTTTTCATTGATCGTTTTTTAGCACTTAGAATACTGTCACATAATAGGTGCTCAAAAAAAAAATACTGATGACTTGATGAATGAAAGCATTGTTTCCATTGATCCAGAAACTATTTAGCTGCTAGTAGGAAAGTTCTAGGTCATAGAACCCCTTGTTTCCCTTCTTTATATCAGTTTATTTTTTAATGTTTCTATTACATTTTTAATGTTTATGTTTGTTTATGTCAGTTTATTTATTATATCAATGTAGCCAGAATTTCCTATCCTTGACATGGAATCGTCCTTAATATCTGATTAGTGTTCTCATTTGGCATCTTTGATTTATCCATTTTTGATTTGCTTTCAGTAAGAATCTGATTAAATTGGTTTAGTAGTAATTCCCCACTCCTGCTGTCTCCTTTTAATAATTTTCCATTCACTCACCCCTTCCCTTTGTTGATTGGCTATAAATCTCCACCTGCCTTCGATCTCTTTTGAGTTGGGCCCAATCTCTCTTCTCTTTTGTGACAATCTTGACACACTGTGATAATTATGAATAAAGCCTTCCTACTGTGCTAACAAGTGTCAAATAATTTTTTTTTCATTAACAAGTAAAATGACCAAGAAATAGAGGCAAACTACTGAGAGGATCATCTGGGAATTCTCTGTTCTCCAGGGGTTTGATTGTACAAAGTGGAGCACTTTGCATGTCAAGTTACCTGTGTGTAGACTTTACTATTGTTAATTCCTTTGGTTTCAACAAAAAGCTCTCAAATTTTAGTCTGTATATTTACTCAACACAAAGGCAATTTATTTGATGAGTGGCTTAAGAACTTTCAAGAGTAATTCTGTCTACTTGATGTTTTTTTCTTTGCCCCTTAACTGCTAAGTAGGAACCTATTTTCTATGATTTGTATTTTATGATATCCTTTTTTTTTCCCACAAACATCTAACTGGGTGTTCAAAGCAACTCCGCAAGAGGAGTGTCACTTGTTTTCGTTCAATAATAAAATGACTATATGTAACCATGGTTACATAGAATTACATGGTTACATAGAATTTCACTATGAAGTTTCATAGGTGAATACTGGGATTTTTTTTCAATTTTCAACTAGACTGTTTCTAATACACTGCACTGTCAAATGTGCCTCATTATTTTATCATCATCAGAATGTTCCAATTCTTTGGATAAGTATGTGCCTTTGGTGAAAATGAATGCAATGCTTCCCTCTCACAGTGAAGACCTACATTGATTCTGTTTGGCCATGACTTGTTTTGTCCTATGCAACAATAGCCCAGGAGTCACAAACAGAATTAAGAATGCTTGATCTCTTTAGATTTCCTTTGTTGCTGTCTTGGAAATTCTGAGACTTCCCTGCAATTAGTTCTCAGAATGATCAAAAACATGTGGCCTATTCAGTTCTATCACCCAACCAACATCCAGCCACTACCCTGAAACAGAGCTACATGGCTGTTCAACCACTGACCCAGGCTCTAGGTCCAGCCAAGGTCAGAAGAAACAGCCATCCAAGGTCAGCCCAAACAAGCTCACTTAGCATCGAGCTAAACAATGTTTGTCACTAAGTTTGGGGTGGTGTGTTTACAACCAAAACTAATGGATACACCTTAAAAGAGTGATTTTGAGATGTTTGATCTTGGAAGGGAAGAGCTTATAATAACCCAAACTTACTTCGACTGTTGGTAAGAATATGCAGGTGCATGTTCGTTGGATGTGTCCACTGTTATCTGTTGCTGCTGACCACTGGTGTCCTGGGATGAAGGTGCCACTGTCTGGGGAGAAGTATCAGCAACGACACCCTAAGGAGGCACATAAGTACACAAAGACCTTATTTTCTTTAGCATAAACGATCTTGTCTTAATGAGTCATAAATACTTATGTTCTATTTGGCTTGAGAAGAGAGGCTCTCAGCTCCATGAAGCCATGATAAGCACTCAAAGCAATGCAAAGAATACATTTGGATAAGGGTTGGGAAATTCATTCTAATGCAACACCATAAGCTCTGCCATCAGAAGTCCTTGGTATAGTCATATTGTCAGAAAAAAAAACAAAAAACATTTTGCCCATTCTTGGAACTTTTAAACCATGGTTACATATAGTCAGACTAAATAACAATTTTTAATCAAACATTTCTTTTAGGATTCCTAGGAATACTTGTATATGTAAACAACTGCCTGGGGGTAGTTTACTGTACCTTGTCCATATCATTTGGCAAAATAATGGGCTCTGTCCTTCATAAAAATCTCCATCAAAGTTTGAAAATCTTTTCAAAGGATACTGTTGAGCAGGTTTCCCCTTCAGTAATTTGTTTTACTTTGCTTTGTTTTCCAAGATATGAACTGAAATCCATTTACAGTTTCCAGAAAAAGGAAACAAAACAAAACAACTTGTCCTTAATTTAGATTTGCTCTTCCTTTTTTTTTTTTTTTTGGTTCTTATTGTATCTTTCATTTCTCACAGATGCCAGCAAGAATGAATTTTTGGAGTTGGTCATTATCAGGAATGTATGTTTGTTTCCAAGGGAGGTGTATATGGATTTATTTGGTTGTTAATAGAACCTGATTTTAATTATAATCTTGGACACCTGCAGTCATGTTGAATTGCAAATGCTCTTGGTCAATTCTCTTGTCACTTAACTAAAGATCCCTGAAATTCTTCCTTAGAATCTGAAAAATTTTTCTTAGAGACATTCATTGTTTTCTTTCCAAAGGTATTGTATGCTGTTTTGTGTTTTTCTCCCACCAGCATTTATTTTTATGGATTCTGGTGAATGTGTAATGAAAGTTTTCACATGGAAAATAATCAGTGCTTTTCCCTATAAGTACAAATGAAAGGCAGAAGGTCAGAGCGTATTTATATTTTTCTCACCGAAGTTCTTCTTTTCAGACTCCAGATTTACCTATACCATTTCTAATAAACTATACTGTGAAATGGGCTGTATTAATTGATCATTATCAAAATGTTTCAATTCTTTCCACTGGCATGTGCCCTCGGTAAGACATAAAGAAATACAAACATGTGGCAGAGATCTATGCTCACAGCGCCTAGAATGCCTGGATTATTGGATTACTCATGGCATAGCTCCTTTTTGAGAGCTGAATATAGCAAAGAACATGTAATCCAATCACATATTTTTGGAAATTTAGAGATCAAATTAAAACCTATTTAATATGACAAATTCTTTGGGTCCCCTATGTCTAGAACATATAAGAGGTCTGAAAATATAATATTGGTTATCTAAACGACACAGTAGTGCCCTCTGCACTTTCTATAACTTGGTACAAGTCAACATTTGTTACACAGAAAAACAGGTGTTTTAATAGATCTAATTTAGTCTATGAAGGTTTCCATCAATCTCTTTATCAGTGGATTTTCTTGTGGTGCAGTACAAATGTGCTAGTTACTGGCCGATTTACGGAGCAGCAAAGACATGTCAATTCCAGACGGTTTTCAGCTGAGGAGGGGAAGTGTTCTGTGACCTTAATGTACATATGCATTAGGAGAGGGGTAAGGGGGGCAGTGAAATGAAAAGTAACAGCCAGAATCAAAGGGAAGAATAGATTCTAAGTGTTTCACCTCCCCCTCCATGAAGTTCTATGCCTTCTGTTTTCTACAAAGCTTGATGGTTTTATGTAGTAAAGGTATAGAGGGGATGGATTCATCCCAAATGAAAGACAAAAGGAGAAGGGCAATGTTTCCTTTAAGGTCAATATGACACTATCCTTTATGATGTCCACACTGTTACCAGTGATCCAAGAGTTCTTGTCTATAGGAACCTTTAAATCTGTCAAGGGTCATTCATTGGAACAGTGTCTTTCTTTCCTTTCCTACCCCTTTCCCTTCCCTGCTTGCTCTTTCTCCCCTCCCTCCCTGCCTTCCTTCTTTCCTTCCTTCTTTCCTCCCTTTATCTCCCACCTTTTTCTCTTTCTCCTTCCTTCCCTTCCTTATTGTTAAAAATTAAACACAGGGCCTTCTGCATGCTAGGCACTCTACCACTGGTATATATTGGAATCAGCTGAGATCTTTTAAACATCCTCATGTGTAGGAGGACATTTTCCAGATAGGTGAATCAGAATCTCTGGGAGTAGAATCCAGGAAGCAATCGTTTCTAAAACTCTCCAAATAAATTTAATGTGAAGAAATTGTGAGAATTAGCGCACGAACCCAGTGTTTCTTACAATTTCAATGCACATCTGAATTATGGAAGGATCTTCTTAAAATAAAAATTCAAATTTTGTAGATCTGAGTGGTACCTGACAGCCTGCATTTCTAAGAAAGTCCTAGGTGATTCACATGATGGTGGGTCCAGGGCTCACACTTTGAAAAAACAAGGTACTGGAGATCTAGCTCATTCTCATACTTGCAAACTGTTTTGCCTCCCTATTTTTATGAAAATCTATGGTTAACATTTGATGGGGTAATGATTTGTTCTCTGTTCTTTCCTCTAAATGTGAAAATGACCCTCCCCTCAAACCTCTGTATCAGATTAGATCATTTCACATGCAAAGCAAAATAAAGACATGCTTGAAAATAATGTGCATACTTTCATATACCAAGCTTGCCATTGCAAAGTTTAGATCAGCACAGAAATTATACATGAGGATTTCTTGAATCCTGAGAACCACAGTTTATTTGACTGAGATTGACCTCCCTTAATCTATTTCTGTAAGACAGGGTTAGACTTACTTCAATAGAAACAGCTGTCGGAGGCACAGGCGTGTACTGGGGAATGTAGGTCCCTTGCATAGGAGCAGCAGCAGTCATATACTAGAGGGAATCAAAGAAAAATACATGTGAACTTGAGGCTGCAACCAGAGAGAAAAATCATATACCACATGAGACTACTTTATATGTGTGGACCAGACCAGTGCATGGGGTCTAATTATATTTAGACCAAAAATAAGGTAGGTCCCTCCATCAGCATTGAATGACCTTTGCTTACTGATTTAGTACTAAGAGCAGCCTCACTAAGTGACTTAACCCCAATTCCCACACCTTCTGTATAATAGCTCAAGCATCTCATATTTTACTTCTAAACAAACTCCTAAAGGGTGAGCATGATGTCTGTTTTTTTCCCTCCATTTTATTGCTAGCAGCTATCATGCAGTAGACTCTCTATAAGTATTTGTTGAATGAATGAATCATCATAAATTGTTAATAATGTTTTATTTTCTAATTAAAATAATAGAGAAATAATGCAAGAAATGCTTATGTAGAAACATTCAAAATTGGCAAATATAGCTTCATCATTTTTGCATCACTTTTGTTAATAAAAAAAAGAAATGGAGTTTTGCAGATAATGCTGAAGTCTCTGTGTTCCCTTCTCCCACCCCATTCTCAAGCCTACTTTCAGTATTTCCTTTCCAACTCCTTTAATTTCCAAATGTTCACCATTGGGTTGAATAACAAAAGAGCCAAATCATTTTTCTGCAAGTTCTAATAGTCAGTAAAATATGTATTTTGGGGAATGACATGCATTTTTTGCAATGAAGAAAGGGAGCTCCGGGAAAATCACATCCTCACTTACATAGGCATAAAGTATAACCAACATTCCTATTTTCAATACACATTCTCCCTGTAAGCTCAAAGTTCTACTGTTTGAGAATTAAATTTTCCTATGGCATAAACTGTTTCAGAGCTTCTAAACTTGATCAACATCATGAAACTTCTGAACCAGATTCATCTCATGAGACAAGGTTCTCAATTTATCAAGGTTAGAGGAATGGTTTCTACAGAAAATCAAAAGCCTCTAATTCTGTATTTTTCTGAACTTGCTGAGATTAAATATTAAGGATCCATGTAAATATGGAAAACATAAATTACTTGTTCTGTGTATCTTAGCCCTCACAGTGCTCAGGAGACTTGATCTAAAGGAAGGGAAATACCTTAATGGAGACTAACCCATCAGTTGTGACTGTTTAATATTCATGGACTATTATATTACTAAATCAACTTTGGAATAAATGTTATCTCCAACCTAAACTAAAAACTCTTCTATTATATCTAGTTGTTAAAATAGAGGCAGTCTTGATGACACAACCCTAAATCAAACTAACCAAACTCTTATTTGTAATCTATGTGTGGCCATGAATAATTGAGTACAGCTCATCTCCATATAAAAACTACTATGTAACAAGAGCAATTTTTTGAAATGCCTAACGATATTTATAATTTAATTTTATGAATGAATATTATCAGAGACCCTTGTCCTCTGTCCTCTTATAGTGCTCATCACTATGTCCAGACTACTGTCTTCTTAAAAGTATGATCCAGGCTTAAGTTGTGAATCTGTCACTACCTAAGGTAATGCCTGGTTGGTATTCAGTAAGGAACTGTTTAACGGCTGAATGAAAGAATGCAGGCAGGAAGCTTTTATTTCAATTAAAAATTGTGCAAGCCTCTTAGTCATTGATAATTCTGAGCTCATAGTAGGTATTCATTTCACCACCATCTCTAATATCTTTACGTAACATTTAAACAAATGTTTTAGCCAACTGTGCTCATCATCATTTTTGTTCTCCTAAGTGAACAATTAGTATTCAGATGTTTGACTGCTATCAATTTTTCAAATAAGTACAGAACATGAGAATCACATTTCAGCAAATATAATTTCACATCGAGAACACTGTGGCAAGCATGTAGCTTATCAATAAAACTGCTCTAGCAATTTGTTGTAAATAATATTTTCCTGGCCATTTCAGATATATGATTTACAATGTTCTATGCATCCCCTTTAATGTGTTCTTTGGAACACCAGCTATGTTGAGAGGAAAGCACTCTGTGTTCTAATGCATTTAAACAATGCTGTATAACATATCCTTCTCTTTGAAAATGACAGATAATAAAAATCTCTAAAAAGTCATATTTTACAAATCCTTCTTAATGGTGATTAAAACAACATTTTTTCTAAAACTTTTATTTTTGGAACACTTATAAAATTTTCTTAGATCTAATGCTCTAAAGAACTCAACACATTCTGGAAAACATTCCTTTACTTGACTCTAAAATCCTAGCAGATAACGTAGCAAGTGGAATGTTATTGCCAAGTAGGAATTTGTCCAAGTGCAAAATTGATACTGTTGTGGCTGATGTTCTACCTTGTGGTCATGACTTTTCTGCAGGCAGAAAGCTTTTATTTCAATTAAAAATTGTACAAGCCTCTTAGTCATTGATAATTCTGAGCTCATAGTAGGTATTCATTTCACCACCATCTCTAATGTCTTTACATAACATTTTAACAAACGTTTTAGCCAGATATACCCTATGCTAGTAAAAGGCTAATCATCCCTCATCTATTTGGGTGTTTTTTTATTGTGCAGTTAGTAATTGCATGCTTTACAACTGGGCTTAATTGGCACCCATATGAAAGATGTTATTTTGATCCATCCATCCACTCTACTGTCTATATCTCTAAGGAGGCATTTCTGTGCATTAGAGTTCATTAGGGACATAACCTTTTGGCCCTTTAGAGCACTGTTCACTAGTTCATATGAGAATCCACTCAATTATTTAGACCTTTCTGTCAAACTAAAGAATTCCCAGGCAGTATGGTTAATGTGAACATTGTATGTGATTTCTTAGCTAGGCTTCTTCAAATGATTTAATTATTCAAAACCTCATCTATGTTTTGCTTCTGTAAAAGTGGATCATTAATCTTTCACTCCTCCAATAACATTTGATGCAGTTTAGAACATGGCCCAAGCTCAACTACTTAGGAAGCAATTCATATACTCGTACTCTCTTTAGAAAAGGTCTTTGAATCTAACAGGATGGTTTCTCCATTTCACAAATGGAGAAACTTAGACCTACATATATTGGGGAACAAGCCCATGTTCTTCTGACTCACGATTCAACTCAACCAACCTTATTATTTTTGAAGTTAAATAAATACTTTTCTAAGAGCATTCTTTCAATCATTATCATGTAATATAGGTATCAACTTATTTTTCTCAATGGGGTTTATTACTTGAAGTTCAAATTTAGAAATATAGAGTAACATAAGGTTAAATGACATTTTTGCCATTCTTTTCCACTCAATATTTTAGTTTTACTTGATACTCAGAATACCTAATTTTCTTATAAGGGGACTATCCCAAATGCTTGGGAACTTAATTTTACAGTGCTCTTCTGAACAGAACCATTACAGATTTTATAGTATAGGTGAGATCACCTCATTTTCATGTTGTGTGTGTGTGTGTGTGTGTGTCTTTCAATGAAAAAAATCTTTCTGGTTGCTTTTTCTTATGTCATAAAAAATAATAATAGAAGATCTTGAAAATTTGTTTGAAAATTAAGAACAGAATTATTTTAAGCACTTTTTATGTCCCTTTAGACTATTTTGGGCAGATAAACTTTGTATTAAAGCACTTCTGTGGGAGACTTCTATTTTCTAGGGTAAAGCCTAAAGAAGTGACAGTCTTGTAAAATCAGGAGCAAGTACTTCCAGGAAATGGCTACAGCTCTGTGTAAGCTCAACTCTCAGCTTTAGATTATTGGTGACAAATAACTCTGAACTTTCTCTCTGAGCACACAGTTTGATTTCCTTAAGAGCCCAGATAAACTCCGCTCAGACTCAATAATCCTGGCTGCACAAGCATTGCTTAGATGTGGGCGCCTGAGAGACTGCTTTCATTTTATCCAGCTAACAAATGACAAAGGACTAAGAGAACGACCTGTGACAACAATTTTGTCCTTGACTTGATAAATTCTTGTGGATTATTTCTTAAGACCATAACAGATATGGATGTATATATGTCCTTTAAACTAATTTCATTTATGGGTATTTCCCCAAAACTTCAAAATGTCTGCCATATTTTTTATGAATACAAATTATGTATTTATTTTTATATGATAGCTAATGGGAAGCAGAATATGATGAGGTGATGCAGATAAAATAGATTAATCCACAGAATATTTCCCCATTAAGTAGCAGCTAGAAGTTACAGCATCAGTGAATGATTTTTTTCTTGTAATCAGCCTGGTGCTATTTGCATATTCTTAAGGCAGAGGACGTTCACATGTAAGTGCGTGGGAGCCCTGAATAGCCATTTTCAAAGCCACAGAATAAATTCCAGACTTCATCACTTGTTCCAAGAAGTCTAGACACTGCATCACCCAGATAGTTACTTGAAGAGAGGCGGGAAAAAAAAAAGTGGGATTGGAAAGGAATTGTGTTGATGCTTATTTAAGTTGGGACAAAATGTTTCTGTTACTGTGTAATCAATGATTTTTTCTGTGGAAACAAAGAAATCTCCCAATTATTAGTTTTGGATTTACTCTCTCTTCCTCCACCAAAATTAAACAAATAAAACAAAGGGTTTTAGATACTTCCTATGGGGAAGCTGTTCATTTAAAAATTATTTGGGATGGGCAAGAAAGGTCCCATATTTTCACTTTTGGAATTTCCTATGCTATTTGATGACAGTGGCTCATTTGCAGTTATAGTTCTACTAATCCTATTTATTGGGGCTTTCTAATCCTTGCTAAAAATTGTGCAAAACTGATTAACAAATTCAGAATGGAGAGTTGCTCTGGTCTCATCAAACCAAGAAAATCAATGAGAAGGATGTAGGAAAATTGTAAAAGTGTATATCTCCAAAAGGCATTTGAGCAGAGAAAAAAAAAGACTGATTTGTAGTAGATGATGCTAACAGTATGCAGTGTGAATTACTTTGAAAGAATCATGAAGTCCAAAATTTCTTTTAACAAAAAGATACGTGTGGATACAGGGAACAGCCTGAGTGATGATTTGTTACAGTCCAGAGGGG